AAGAAATATTAACGAAAATAAACAACCATACTCATATACAGTCATATACATATACAACCACACACATATACACACAAATACATACACATTTTAATTTGTACATCACAAGCCGTTGCCAGCTGTAACCGCATACCGTTTTAGTTCCTGCAATAGTTTTCAGCATGCCGTTGGTTTCCCAGCGTTCGTAGACAAACGTCGCGTAATCGTAAGAGGCGAAAAAGCACACCACCCCATCCGGCACACGCCTGCATGTTTGCAGCACGAGTCTTCCCAGTTCATCTATCTGCAAGGTTATTAGGGTACGATCCACAAGTATGCACTTAGTCAACCCGAGTCTATGGCCACATACCAAGGCCGATTCGTATCGATTCGCTATCGATTCTCGTTCGTCAATGACAGCTGTGTACCCATCGTACCCACCCGCATAGCCAGCACCTTGAATAGGAAAACATAGTGTACTTGTATCTCGATATATCGACATATACAGCTCCTTTATCAACACAATCTCATACCGTGTCTATTTTCTGTCAATTATCATAAGTAATTGATAGACATTCACCCGTGGGATCGACCATCACAGGCCGTGAAACAACATAGTTCTTCGACCCCGATATATCGGCAAAAACCGCCAGTAGCAACTCCTATCTGCCGATTCTCATTGGTATATGACAGTCGTTTCCCAGTTGAACACGCCGCCACAGCCAGTGCAAATGACAACAAAATGTTCTTATATCTCGATAAATCGGCATATACGACACCAGTATCAACACAATATCATACCGTGTCTATTTTCTGTCGATTCTCATAGGTAAATGACAGTCGTTTCCCCGTCGGACCCACTCCCACGGCCAGCGCAATAAGATTGTCAGGGGGAATCACATGGTCGCACGAGAACAGAGTCACTCCTACGGCACTCTCGATATCATCATATGCGTGTTTAGCCGTGCTCGCAATTGCGTTTGTGTCTATGCTGGTATCTTTTTGGGCGCTACTAGTACTGTTGTGTGTATTATCAGCGTGTTTGGATATATTAGCGGAGGTAGTTGCACCTAGTCGGAGTACGCTTGAGACAGGTTTGTTGGGCAGAGGTTCTCTTTTCGTGATGTTTAGCTGGGGAGAAAAAAGTGAGAAAGAGAATGTAGACACCTGAGATTACTGCAAGCGTGAGAATTAAAACCCATGACAAGTGATCACAATGTGAACGGAGAAAGGTCATCAGCTAGCCGGCAAAGTCTACATACGATAGGAGGGTCACCCCACAATGCACTACAATACTCACGAAGAGAATTGACTCCTTCGGCAAGATTTACATACGCGGTGTACTGTTTTATGAACCAACGAGATATTCGGCACAAATGTAACTCTAAATAGCACTCCAGATGTGCACATATAGTAAAATACAAGATATGAAGTAGTAGTTCTGCCTACCGCAATGTATACAATGTATATATATCTTGCACGTGCAAGTGTGAAAAGCAATCGTTGATTGGCATTTTCTTAGCACGGCCATATTCAATCTCCTCAAATATCTCATTCAAATACATGACGGGGAAAATTTTTGGCTACATGCATGCATTGTTTGAAAAGATCGTACATAAGTGCACAGTGCTATACTTCAAGGGGGTCGATGAGGTCATCCGTGATTTATTAACACGGACATACTAGCGTCACTTTGTTCCGCAACCTTAACCAACTAATTGAGATTTGATATGCAAACTAGTACATGACTCGCATGTTAAGAAAGCTTACCTTGTATGTGAACTCATGTGGATCAATGAGTTGATCAGCAAAGTCTTTGTACGGTGACATGGTACCCCCACACAGTATAACAGCTCTGGCCTCCTTCAGCACGCAGGTAAACTTGTCGGCAGCCGATAACACCAGGTACTTCAAGCTTGCCGACGTGGTTGTTTTCCTTTCTAAATACATGGGGAATTCCGGATATGTGGTCAATTGGTGTGATCAGAAGTTTAAACCGATACAATAAGATTTGATTGCAGAGTTTTGTTGGTGTTATGTGTCGAATTGGAATATTCAGTGTGAATGTGTTCTCCTTCACAAGATCATCTCATATGGTATAGTGATGTCAAATGGACATGGATATAATACGCGCACTGACTACTTGTATGCATCGCCTCGTTAGTAACTAATTACAAAAGCAGCATAATACGAAAGAGCGATTCGACATAGTATTCGACTTCTTGTCGTCAGACTGTTCGTTCTATTTATAATGACATTGAACCGAAGGATAGCACAACATACACTCCATCTTGCATATGGCATTGCCTCCTACACTATACAAATTTCAATGCGTGATTTCCCGTTGAGTCTTGCAATCAAA